CTTGACCTTGGTCCAACCTCATTATCGTCCACCTGAACTTGGGTAAGCTGATTGTCAGAGCACGGCTTCAACCGGAGACCTTCAAAAGCCTTGAAAGCTTCCATGAACTTGCTTGTGATGGAGTCAATTTGTTGTCGACCCATTGCAGGGTTCAAACAAACATACAAGACCCTAAGCTTGGCAACTTAGTGGAATTACCCTCCTTTCATCGTTAGTTGCCTTCTGCTTGTGGCACTTGCAGACTTTCCACAATTTACTATCCAAATTGCTGACATGATAACAAACTATTCAAGTCACACAGTAGATTGTTCAAGTCGGGCTGCAAAAGAGGTGATTGTTCCGAACACATCGACGGACTAGTTTTGCAGGCAAACTCGCCCATTCAGCGTCGTAGGCAGTCCTGGACTTTCTTTATGTCGTGATGGCAGGAAATAGATAAGAATCATGTGAAGCAGAGCCTGTGAGCAGGCTTGTTCTCCATTCCTCTACGGTACGTTTGTGTGCAACTCGATTAGCAATCACTTCCATACCAAGACAGTTTTGATCGTTTTGTACGAGCCTTGACCTTGATCCAACCTCGCTATCGTCGACCTGAACTTGTGCAAGCTGATTGTCAGAGCGCGGCTTGAACTAGAATCCCTTAAAAGCCTTGAATGCTTTCAAAGCTTGATTTGTTGCGGAGTTAATTTGTTGTCAACTCCATTACGGGGTTCAAGACAACACATAGAATTAGAACTCCCTTGTGGCAACTTTGTGGATTTGCGCTCCTTTCGGCCAAAGTTGGTGTTTGCTTGCGGCGCTTGCAGTCTAATGGTGCAGGCTATCTACAATGTACTATCCAAATTGTTCATGTGTATTCAAGTTACATATTCATTTTGTGCAAGTCAGTTCAAGTCAGTTTGCAAAAGGGGTGTTTGCTCCAAACGAGAAGTGCACAGGGTTGTCGAACAGACTGGCATTTGTGTTTTCTTGCCGGAAGATGTCTCCACACGGGCCTGACAATTGTTCCAAGTTCTCGCGCTAAGTGTGACCGCTGTTCCTGTCCAGAACTTCATGTTGTCCTTTCAATAACATGTCGAGGATCGGCAAAAGTTCAAGTTCCTGAAAAGCCTCAAAAGCGGCGGCAAACTATGCCAATAATTTTCATGCTTGACTTGAGAACCCAAGCCATTTTGTCCACTTGAACAACTTTGATTTGTTGAAATGAAATGATTGATACACGGAGGGTGAACTCATCAATGTGCTGCATAAGCATTTGTGCAGAGCATTTGGTCCTTGGACATCTTGCGCAAGCACCTCCTGCAAGAGCTCCACTGTGCTGTGACATTCAACACTGTGATGCAAATCGCATAGGCAACATCATTTGTTTACGGCACGCCACAAAGACGTCGACCAATTGCACTGCGCTTTCGCCTTTGCGTAGGTACCACTATGGAATCCAAACGCCGCATAGGCACCCTTTGCAACTGCAAAAGCTCGCGGAAGCTTCCACAAAGGGTGTGTTTTTGTATATACCGAAAAAGGGGAAACACGCGATACTCAAAGATATAATTCCTTGCTTAGCATCGTGCTTGAAACAGTGAGAGCCAGCAGCCGAACAACATGTGGCGATAGAGTAGTCTTCCGGTGTGATGAGAGCGAAAATGGCATGATGAGCTATAGCCACCTCTTGTCAAAGTGGACGTCCTGTGATTCTCCCTTACTGCAGGAGGCTGGTATCAATTCCGCAACGAAAAGCAACGAATGCACTGAAGGCAAAAGCAAAAGTAGAAGACCTGAAGGCTGAAAAGCAATGGCCTGTGACAGGATTGAGGAAAACTGTACTACTTGTGGCCGCTTGCTTGCCTCTTCAGGTTTCATAATGTTTTTGGCGCGCAGAGTAACAGTAAGTGCAGCCTGAGAAAGAGGAATGGCAGTGCAGCGAACGTGTTTTGGGGAACAGACACATGCTTGGTTCTACCTTGGTTGCCTGCATGCGGGTCGACCTTGATCCAACCTCGTTATCGTCGACCTAAACTCGAGCAAGCTGATTGTCAGAGCGCGGCTTTAACTAGAATCCCTTAAAGCTTTGAATGCTTTCAACACTTGATTTGTTGCAGAGTTAATTTGTTGTCAACCCCATTATGGGGCTCAAGACAACACATAGAATTAGAACTCCCTTGTGGCAACTTTGTGGATTTGCGCTCCTTTCGGCCAAAGTTGGTGTTTGCTTGCAGCGCTTGCAGTCTAATGGCGCAGGCTATCTACAATGTACTATCCAAATTGTTCACGTGTATTCAAGTTACATATTCAATTTGTTCAAGTCAGTTCAAGTCAGGTTGCAAAAGGGGTGTTCGCTCCAAACGAGACGTTCGACGGACGGACTAGTCTTGAGGGCAGACTCGGCCCTCCAGCGGCCTTCGACGGAGTCGAACCAACACCAAAGTTCTCGTTTTTCATCTTCGTTTGGTTGCCAGCAAGGCTCTGGGGCCGGCCGGGAAGTCCCCCTTCCCGTCTGGTCTAGGACAGGTAGCACCATATGGTAAGGTGTTTTTTTGGTGGCTGGAACAAACACGTTGGCACAGTAGCACCTTGACAGGTTCGCAGAAGCTGAAGTCCTCAGACAACACGTTTGCCAACAGCAGTTGGATTGCCACACATCACATGCCCGTTTAGCGCTGGTGGTGTGTGTTTGTCCATTTGTTACCACCACTGGTATGGCCACCCATGCCAACCGCTCCCCATCTCAGCTGGTGTTTCATGATCATTGCACGTGGTTCCGGCTTTTACGTGGTCGGCCACCGTGCGGTTCCTTGACCAAAATCAATCGAAAGGCTTGAAACTTCAATGGCTCATAATTGATGATTTGCCGCTCCGGTGCGCCGGGATTGCTTTCCAGTGACTTGCACACGTTGGAGTTGTGAGGTTGAGCTTGATTGGTCGTTGATCGATGTTGGCGTCAAATGCATCACCTTTGCCATTCCAAAGGGCCACAGTAACTTCACAGATCAGAATCATGAGAAGAGGGGCCTGTGAGCAGGCCTGCTTTTTTGCACAGAACAGCTAGTGCAGCCTGAGAAAGATGAATGCTAGTGCAGCAAACGTGTTTTGGGGAACAGACGAATGCTTGGTTCTACCTTGGTTGCATGTGGGTCGACAGTCCAAAACCTGGCGTCCCGCCAGGTTAGCTCAATGCAGATTGCTGTCCCGAGAAGCAACCTCTTTTTCAGTACTAGAGAGCATTTCCGTGAAGATCTTTGATCGTGAAAGCTGTGACATGTCGGAGTTTAAGCAAGCATCCCAGGGTCATCAAAGAAATCGACCTGATTGTTTTGTTCATGTTGGACACGAAGCCCTGAAGCTTCCCTCCAGTGTGCCCAAGGGCTTAAAGGATATACTTCCAACTTGTGCCACTGGGTGTTTGCCAGAAGCACTGGGCACTCCCAGGATATTTGTTGCAAGTGATATGAGCATTTCAATCGGACTGAAGAGATGCACGGCTTGTGAGCAGCAGGCTTGTTCTCCATTCCTCTATATTGTACATTTCTGTTCAGTGTGATTTGTAGTTCTTTCCATACCAAAACAGTCTTGATCGTTCTCTACGAGCCTTGATCCAACCTCATTATCGTCTACCTGAACTTGGGCAAGCTGATTGTCAGAGCGAGTCTTGAACTGCACACGTTCAGCCGAAACAGCTTCACTTGCACAGTAAGAGCCTTGATAGTGTGTCCATGAATAGGCTCCTCATGGATTCAATTTGTTCTTGACCTATTGCGGGGTTCAAGGACACATAGAACTCCCCTTTGGGAACTTTGTGAGGCCGCTATAGGCCGCTCACTTCATCGAAAGTTGCCTTTTGCTTATGGCTCTCGCACTTGCTTATGGTGCAAGCTATCCACGATTTACTGTATTCAATTGACACAGTCGATTTGTTCAATTTGGGCTACAAAGATGGGCTCCAAACAAGAAGTGCGACGGGGTGTCGAATGGACTTGTGCTCCTGTATAAGTGTAGGGTCGACATTTCTGTCCATTGATGTCGGCCCGCCTATCACAAAGTGTGACCATTTTTCCTCACCAGAACTTCATGTAGTGAGTTCAAGAACATCTCCAGCAGGATTTGCCAAAAAGGTTCAATTACCTGAAAAGCCACAAAAATGCCGGCAAACTATGCCAATGGTTTCCATGCTTGAGAATCAGAGCTGTTTTGTCCACTTCAGGAGTTGTGCCAAAGTCGGAAGATGTCAGACACAAAGATGTCTAAGATGTCTTTTCCCGAAGTCCCGCCCAAAGTTTTTGTCCTTTACATGCGGACTTGAGCGCAAAACCCAGTCAAACGCACAACACCTGAGAAGCAAGAAATGTGTGATGTTGAGAACTCCAACCACAGGCCGTGGTCAACCCTTGGCCAATCACAGCAAAGCCAGCTGCACCCAACACTCCTTTTACGGAGCTTGACAGTGTCACCATATAGCACCTTGGTCCTGGAGCAGAAAAGGCAGGGCAGGTGGTCCTTTCAACGATGGCTTGGTTGCTGTTCGCTGGCGCTGCGGCAAATCAATGCGTTTGGAAAACGAAAAAAATTGGAACAGTGCGTCAGGATTGTGTTTTCGTTTGCGGCTTTGTTTATGAGCATCATGGTTGGAAAAGAGTCAACATTTGTGTGCAGGGTTCATGCTACTCCTTGATACTGCTAAGTACCTCTCAGACTTTCAGCAGTTGTTTTGCTTTCCCCTCAAGGTTATTTGCAAATACTTGGTAGTCAACCTCAACGTTCAGAACATGTTTCTGCGAACAAAACCTCCAAGTGGAAGGATTGGACATTATCGTGCTCTGTCAGTTTGAAGGAGTCTATCAGTGTATCTGGTCTATAGAGACATCCAAAAGATCCCAGGAAGAAGGAAATTAGACCAATTAACAACAATTGATTGTGGGTCCCCCTATTCAAATGCACACTGTTACACACTCATGTTACCATGTTTGTACTAAAATTGATCTTCACCCCTCCGAAACGCCACTCAGGCCACGACGTGGATTTTGTGAATGGATCCTCCGCCCTTCAGCTGGGCTATGTTCGGAAGCAGGAGATGGATCGCTTTCAGCCGCGTGGAGTAACTACTGGAGGGGAAGCGGTTCAAAACGACTCACTATGACATGGATAAAGCCTCCTGAGAGAACATTCCATACTCCAAAAGAACATCGGCTGCCGCTGAGCTGCCCCTAGCGTGGTATAGGTCCATGTATCATCATGTATCCAACAATGGTCTTGGAGTACATATTTCATCATATTTCGTGAGAATGGTCGAATTCCGGGCGGACATCCGATTCGGATAGTGGACCTTTATTGGATTCTTCACGGGGCAAGCTGCGAAACACCGAGGAGAACATGCCAAATATAGTACGACAATATGTATGTCATGTATTACCAGCACCGCCCAAAGGGTGGTTATTGGATGGAAAATTCATCTTCAGGGGGTCTATACACCACCCTTTCGGTGGTGCTGGTTATATATATATGGTAGTATATATATATATGTTCCGTTATTTGTCAAGTGCAAGTATTGCACTGACTGAACTGCTGCTGCTGACCTGTTTTGTGAACAACCTGCCAAACTCACTACTTGAGCCGAAGCGGTCAACCTATATATGGCAGTGTGTATCATCTCTCAGTGCTCGTCCCCAGATCAAGGCTTTGTGCGTGACATTGTCACTATACATCAATTTGTTTTGTTTGTTTTTGTCGCTGCCCCCAACACATGAGGGCCCAAAGATGCTCAAAGATACGTGGCTGCAGAGAGGACTGGCACCTGTTCGTTCGTGTCATCGATGGTCGGACCGGAGGACGCCTTGATCTATGCCCACTCCCAGAGGCGGGCCTCGACCGATCGCCTCGCCGCATGCTTTCGGCTCTCGGATCGCCTCGCATCGAAGGAGCGAAGGGGAGGTGCCAGGGCTACCAATCAGGTGCTTAAAGTCACAGGTGCTTAGATCAAAGTCACAGGGTGTCCAAGGTTGGTTTGGGTCCAAATGTGTGTGTAATCAGTTCTCAGCGAGCCTGGCTCCCACCAAAACGAGCACGAAAGTGGCTGAACCCGGAATCACCCTCCATCAGGTCAGCCTGCATGTTGAAGTTGGATTTATTCCCGCATGGATGCAGTCGTGCCTCCTCAGGTACGGTGATGTGTTTCGACATGAGACGCTGCCGCACGGGTCTAGGTCCAGTCCTACCGAACCGGGTTGGTACGACTGGATATATATCCCAAACACTCCATGGGACTGCCATCTATGCCGATCAGTTGGGGTGGTTTTGGGGGTCAATGTAGGCATATATGGCAGTCCCATGGAGTGTTTGGGATATATGGTTGGTGTTTTCTGGAACGCGACTCACCTCAAGAGGTCGAATGGACCATCGTGGGACCCGGGACCTGGTCTTCTGAAGGTGTGACGGTGTGAAGCACACGATGGGACGCTTTTTCAATGACCAGCTCCAACGTGGGCTGAGTTCCTTAACACAAGTACATGCTATTCCTGACGTCTCACTTAACACGCCAGTCGTGCTTACGATCCGGGAGTTCGCCCAGTGTGGATGTCCGTTTCTCGAGGACCTCCCTTTGGCATCATATGCAATATAGACCCGAAGAGCCCCTTTCAAGGGTTTAAGTGATTTATAACTATACTAAACACCTACTAAAGGTTCAACGATTGGTGAACTTGAGAAATCAGCTGCAATTCCAACGTGTTCTACTTTGGGTCACCAGTTTACCCGACACTGATGGTGAGAAGGTCAGTCGGATCTATTCAACTTGTCGGTCTACCCAGCCAATGGGCCCCAGCCTTTTGCAGATCTTTGCGGAAAAGCCCCTGTTTGCAGGTCAAAGGTATGAATCTGAACACCTTGTGCATCTGACTGAGATGATTGATGGACCACAAGAGTTCCATTCTCCCAGGCTGGCCACCACCACTGGTTTCAGATGCTCACTCTTGCTCGGGGCATCGAGCAGCATCCACGTCGTGTGAGGTGCAGCACGTGTGGTCTGCTTGAGCGGTTTCGCAGCAAGTGCCGGGGAACTCACGAAACGCGACACACCGGAGAAGTGGTTGATTGGACGCAAAACAAGAAAAGGACCACGCCGCCTCTCTGTGGTTGGTTGGTTGGTGCGAAGATCGGAGAGTCGGAGCGATTCCATTCATGCTTGGCGCGAAGGGCTGAGAGAAAGGCAATTGTAGAGAGGCTGAAGCTCTGGGACGGATTCTGGCCAGAAGTCTTCGAAGTGTGCACCTATGTTTGGGTTCGTCATGAGAGTCCAAAGTGCTTGATGCTTGTTTGATGCACCGATGGCGCCAACTTGGGCTTCATGTGGTTAACTTGTCATTGATATAGGTCTTCACGGCTCTTGAACCATGACAAGCCATGAGAAGGTATCACATCACTTTCAGTGCTTGAACCTTTAAAGTTACCTGCCAGATCCTGTCAGCAGATACCTCCCTCCTGTGTGAAGCAAAGCGCTCCTGAAACCCCGTGCGCGGCTGAACTTGGACAGAACCTCCCTGCATACTCGCTCAGGCTGCATGGAGGAATTCATTGGTCAGAACCTCCCTTGGTGACGATCTCAGACATGACCAGCGCAGAAATGGTGCGGAACTGGGAAGTTGAAGTCTTTTGACATCGCTCAGTTGTTCCACCTGTCGTTGTTGAATGACTCGCCTTAAATTCCCGTGAGAAAGGATTTTACATCGAACAACCACTCTCCGCGGGGGCCACGACCTAAGAGCTCAGCGGGACTCAGCCAACTTTGTGGAGCGTGTGAAGTTACTTAGTGGAGCTTATGAAGGCGTTTCCACCATGCATTTCGGGTCAGAACAGTGGTTGACTTAACCCTCCCTCCAAAGTATAGGACATCAGGACACCCCATCACCACCGATCGCCTTGGACTTCAGAAACATCGCCCACCTTCGGGTTTTTCTCAGGATCCCGCTCCACGGACAATGGATGCAGGGTGGATGCAGTGGATGATGAACTTGTATAGTGCACGCGCGTGTGTTGTCCAGAGCTTTTCCTGAGCTTCCTGGCCAGGATGCAGCGTCGGCTGCAGAAAAAGGCGCCTTTTCCTACATCCAACGGCATTTCCCTAGGGGTCCGTTTTGGTACCGAACCTCATGGATTCTGGGCCCCCATAATGTAAGATGATGCACTTTTCAAGAGAAGATCACTATTCACTATTCAGTTTCGGAGTTCTCATCAACCAAGCAAGCAACCATCTGGGCTCGAGCCACTGCTTTCGTCAGGCCCTGGCTCGAGAAGCTGCAGACCATGGCCAGGGCAGGGCATTTGCGGAAGAGCTATGGAGGAGCTTTGGACTTCGAGGCGGCTTTGGACGTCTGGGTGGGGCGCCGGCTAGTGTCTGGCATGTCGATGGCTTGGCCAGGATGGTGCGTGATAAGGCTGATAAGGCTTATGCGGTTGATGTTGGGCAAGAAACAGGTAGAAGATGGTAGAAGGATTTATATAGAAGGGAGATTTAATGAGATTTGGCAACATCGCCAGACGCTTTGCTTCACGAAAGTGCTATGGACACAGCATGTTCCGCCAGTTGTTTTGCCCCACACCACTTTCAATCCGAACATGAGAGAGTTCTTGTTTGCTCCCTGCCGTGCAAAAACAACTTTTGATCAGGGGCCATGTTCATCCATGTTCACATATTTTTCCACTTCCCATGTCTAGTGTGTTCTTTCTTTTGGGGGGTCAATATGGGACGATTGTTTTTCCAACAAAAGCACTGCTGCCACCTGCGAGGCACCACGGATGTCATGGATGGAGCAAGAGATGGAGCGCACATGTCATAGATGGGGTGATCGGTGATGTGAAATGCAGGATTTACTCCCTGAAATCATCATGGAAGTGGACAAGCTACCTGTTTGGAATTCGGAAAGCGGTCATCCGAAATCGGGGCCATGCTGTTTCAGCCTGGAGTTGCAAAGGATGTGTTTTTCATGTGTTTTTTCACTTGCAGAGGTTTCAAGTATTGAAGTTTTGCACCAAGAAAACATGTGAGGACAGCATAGGCGGGGCAGGCAAAGCTCACCTTTCGTGTTCACCCAATGCATGTAAGCCGGGTGGGATGGTATTGTCCGCGCATTAATTATTTACACCATGCCGCTTCAAAATCCAATTCCCATCTCAATGGTCAAGTCGGTGGTTGGGCCTCATTCTTTTGGAGATCGTCTCCTCCCAGACGCTCCAAACAGCCCTTGGTACCTCAAAACCCTAGGGATTTGAGACCCCAGACCCTCCATATGAGGGTCCGACCTCTCCATATGAGGGTCCATGAGCGTCTGGGCTATTACATTTGGTCAATCGGTCAATCCAGTTAGGCCCTAAGGCCACTCGCAGCGATTGAAGAGACCGAAGCTGGACACCCCAGTTGCAGGATCAGCGCAAAAAAGAAGCTCAACTATTCAACAAGTGACTTCCTCTCAACGGTCCCCCAGTTTTAGCCGCTGCTTCTTGGAAGACTCAATTGATTTGGCAGTTGTTGGTTCCTTTGGGGAGCTTCGCTGACCGTGCGTGACCGTGCGTGTGTAGCCTGATCGGGTGAGGAGAGACAAGACATGAACAGTTCAGAGCCTCCAAGCATACTAGTAGAAAGGAACTGACGAACGGGGAGGTCATAAGAGGTCATGAAAGGTCATGTCCTTCAGTAAGGAAACGATTGAAGCAACTAGTGGTTTTGGGACTTCTTCTACGGAGATTCACAAAAGGCATCCAAAGCCACAATAACATTTAGACTCCTGCCTTTCATCACTTCGTTCCATTTACAGAATCACTCGGACACCAGCCTCGTTCGGCGCTTCGCTCGCCCAGCGAAGCCGCTTGCGCCCAAATGGCCAGGAGGCGTCCCCGGTCCTTTCGCCCAAGAGCGAAGGCCCCGTCAGTTTCGTTGGTGACAACCGGTGAGGTCGGAACGGGAGATCAGAAGGGTGTTCAGAATGGGTTTTGGATCGAACCCATGTGTGTAAGCAGGGTGGGAATTTGGTCATGTGTT